AGTGTTTTAGAAACTTGTTTAACAGCTGCTCTGTCAGTTCAAAGTTCCTGCAAAACAGGTATGTTTCGGGTTCTCGCAGAATATGGTTTTTTTTTATTTTTATTTTTATTTTTATTAGGTCACTTGCAGGTCCAACCTTAAACATAAGCGTACACATAAATCAATCAATAAACAAACAAACAAAACCAAACAACAGACTCCTATCTTTGGGGGCCCCTCACTTCTCGTGGTAATTCCTTCAGTGTTATCTCTCCTTTCAGCACCAGGACCAGAAAAAGGGATTTGAAAGGAGGTAAGTAATAAACTACAGAACTGGTCTTTCCCTGAGGTGAACAGCAGGTCAACTTATTACTTAGCAATGGGAATATCTTGAAATACTTCAAAAAAAAAAAAAAAGTTGCAAAGAATATATCCCTACATCACTTAAAACTGGGAAACCAAGTAAAATGTTTCAACCACAACCTAGAAAGGCAAGAGCAAAGCAAAGAATAGAATTCAAACATTCCAGTTTCAAATCTTCTGCCCCCTAGACTAAAATCCCATGATCAGAAGCAGGAAAACCCTGTGGGTGGAAGATGTTATGGTAGCTTAGCTTTCTTCAGTCTCCACAATGCGAAAGACTATTTCTGCTCAACATCTTAAAAGAACTCGGGATCACAGCAACAAAGATGGAAAGGTCAGACTAAACTCATTGCTCACATTGTGCATTAAAAATATACAGTGCTATGACAAACTGCTTGATGAACACAAATGGCAGAAGACCGAAAACTGGCCTCCCCAGAGTTAGCACAAGTTTACAGACAATTTTAAACACAAAATAATTCTGACTTTTCCAAATAAATATTTGAAAGTGCTAGCTGAGACTGAAGAAGCCTGAGACAGAATTTCCCTTCTTGCCTTACGTTTGTGCATGCTGGGAGGAGGACTCTGTTCTTGTTCATGCCAACACTCTCCTGACCTTTTTCTGAGAAAGATGGGGCTTGTCTTCGATGTCTGCAAGAGGAAGCGTAAGCTTGCCGCTGGCAGATGTATTAACAGGACAGGCACTGGTGGACTAGAGGGGACCTCAATAGGTCACACTGTGCTATCTCTTTGCACCGCTTTACAATTTGAGTTACTTTGCTCAACCTGATTTTTCCAAGACTAATACTTATGAAACACAGAAATCTCAACTTCCAGCTAGCACTCAAACAAAACGCCTGAGAATTCATTTCTAAGAATCCTCTATGTTAGGTAAAGTCCAGTCATATGAACTTTACAGAAATAAAAATAGTGCAGTCACAGCCACAAATAATGGCTTAATCCTTTACACTAATGCAGCTTAAAGCTCTCTAATTGTTAAAGAGATTGTTATTTTAACTTGGGGGTAAGGGGTAATTGTTATACATTTAAATAACAAAATTTTAATTCTTTAGGCCACATTTTGAAGCCTAGTTGTGGGCTGGTCTGACCATCTCTGAACAACTTAAAATAACATTAAACCTTCTCAAACTTGTCTTTTACTGGAACAGGTAAAAATCTATTCCATAAAGCACGCATGAAATGCAAAGAGCAGCATCCACATCAAGCTCCATCCAGTCTATCCCCTTTGATGACAGGATATGTAAGAACGGTATGGCTACAAATAAAAACGGAGTTTGTCTTCTAGAGAGGTGACAGCCTCACATGCCTGAGACTTTTTGAGTTGAAGAAAAAAAAAAAAGAAGTCTTACTGAAGTTCAGATAATAATCTGGCAAATATGTAAAGGCCAAATGAATGCCAAGGCTCAGTCCATAGGTACAAAAACTTTTCTATTTTATTCAACATTTATCTGCAGCAAACTAAACATGTGTTCTGTCTTGAAGCAGATGTATGCACAGAACTGGGAATTTAGCTGGACATAACATTTTCCTGCAATGAGTAAAAACAAGCACAGTTCAACAGCTCTTACGTTGCTATGTAAGTGGTGAGATTTTACGATCTGTGCTGCTTTTATACAGGCTTTATTATTCTCATAAAAATCTAACATGTTTTTAGGACACAAGTTTTCACGTATTACAATATAATTTTAAAGAAGACAAACTTTGAGCCTGAAGCAGCTTGACAACGTCCTTTCAGCTTGCTCATCAGATTAACTTTGTCACACATCAAGTGAACAGCTTCCTTGGTTTCTTGCCTAATCTAATACATAGACCACAAAATACCCTTCCAAAGCACAATCAGAAGCAAAACCAAAAGCCACTACAACATTCCATTTCTTTCCAACAACACATTTAGTTTGAAATTTTTATTTCTGTCTCTTTCTAAGAAAGATCACCCTTTTAGCAAGCCATTTAGAATGACAGGACTGGTTTCAGATAGGTTTAAAACAACATATTAGACATATACAAACCAAGAGGTCTGATTTGCTTACAGGACTAATAATGTGTTACGGGTCCTTTCACATCTAGGTCACTGGTTCAAATTCAGCTTAAGTTGGTGATGAGTGAAAAGGAAGAATGAGGTAAGAACTCAGACGTGAATCTGGCTTCCATTCCTGACTGCAACATATTCTCTTTGTGTACATGGACTACTCACCTAACAACTCTTTCCTGTGCAGTTGTAAAATAGGAGTAAATACTATGAATATCACTCCGACCCTGGAAGGCGAATTCTTTAAGGAATCTTAAAGTATGCAAGACTGTCAGAAGATTAACATATTGCTACTCTTAGGCTGTTTGATAGTCAATATGAAATAAATTAGGGGGAATTTTCTCAGGACAGGTCAACACCCTAACGTTGAAAAGAAAAATATCAGCCATGCTTTTGAAAGCATTATAAACATGGAGAATGTTTATAATGTTGAATGGGCTTGTAATTACCTTTTTTTTTTTTTTCTTCATAGGTAGACAGCATGGGTTAAAACTGAAGCAAACTGGCAATCCAGAAGCAACCACATTATGGATGAGAAAGATGGGAGGAAAAAAACATGTGGTATGGAGATGCACTGTGCTCTGCCATTATACAACACAGCTGGTAAATACCACCTCTGTTAGTTGATGGAAGTGGAAAGGACGGGGGAGAAGGAAAAGTTGAACACCCTTGCTATCCCTTGATAGAACTTGAATTACTAAAGGAGCTTGCATCACTGCTGTGCAATTCTTGTTTATCCTTGGAAGGCCAAACAGCTCCCATTTTTAAAAAGTGCCATGCTGGCATGTTTTACCATTTCAGACACTTAATTAAAAGTGAGGAACGAGAAAAACAAAGGCAACTACACACACAAAGGCAACCAACACATTTTCACTCATTCTTGGGTTAAAAGTTGAAAAATAATGATGGCACAGAGTTCAGACACAACACGGTATCTTCATTAATAAGCTGTAATTACTATGAAAATCATCATACCATGTGTTACACAGTCATGATTTCAGAACTACGGCTCATACATAGCACTGCACATTTCTGACATTTTCAGGAAAATTTTGAAGGATTACAACTTTTTCCAGAGACTCTTCAAAATATTTTAACCACAAGAAAAAGTATGTGATGCTAAGTATATATTTGTTATTACTCCTACTTCAGAGTTACCTATGCTCTCCTTTTCTGAAGAAGCTCATACACTGCAATTCCAGAGGACAAATTAAAGCACAACTGCCATGATCTAAAGTATTTAATGAGGCAATGTGTAACATATTCATGCCAAGAAGGAAATCATAAAGATGAAAAATTATGTCTTCTTCTTCCAAATATAGTTACCAAATTTCAACTCTCTGACAGAGGTAGGGAGTGAGATATTCAAGCAATGAACTTCAGTGATGTCTTGTCAATGGATGGAGCCAACAAAAGCCACAAGCACAGTTTCAAAATGATTTAATGGACCATGCTTTGCCCAAGCACTCCTATTGACAAAATTATGAAGTGAATGCATCAGTCAGTGTCAAGACATTACACTGGAGTTATTTGCTGCTCTTTCACATTCTGTTTAATATATACTCAACTTCTTCCTCTTGTCTGTTGAAATGAATTGCAGAATAATTTTTTTTTTTTTTTAACCACTGCTTAATTATTTTTGCCACCAAGCTGTTCTTGCATTAAGTCAGACAAGCTTGAGAAGACAGCTCTGATCAACCAGAACAAAGATAAGCTGACCAGAAAGCACACCAAGGACAGAAAGAGGGGAAATAACGTTATTACGCAAAGTAGAAATTCCCCATGCATTTTTCATGCCTTTGCAGAAAAGGTGAGCATTGCTCATCATCATACATTTCGGCCTATAGTTGAATTTTAAGTCTAAATAATAAAACTCTCTACATCTGTCTCTGAGGGCACTCTGATTATTCAAGTGGGAAAAGCTAGAATTGTATTACATTGCAAGCATTGATTCTGTATCTTTTATACTTTGCACAGTAAGTCCTCACTACTAACCCCCAAAATGTATGTGTGTGAGAGAGATACTTGTCTCTAATTCTCTGCAGAAACAAAAGAAACATGAAGATGTAAAGTAGTATATAGCATCACACAAAAGCTCGTATTACATTCACACAATATCGAGAGCTGCAGTTTGAATCACTGTGCTTGAAAACTGGACAAGTATAATGCAAGGGACAGGAGTGATTATGTGATCTCCTTCCTTTATGACCAGCTGTTTCTTTTTGGAATCACCAATAATCACTAAGTAAGATTAAAATTATGGCGTAGCCTGTGTGTTTACTCTAGTCACAGCTCCAGAAGGAGAAAAATAATGCTGTGTGAATGAAAGTAGGATGCTAAGGAACATATTGCAGAAATGAACACAGCTTGAAAATCCATTCCCACCCCTTAGAAAGGGTCAGTTTCTTTTAGTTAATACACTCTTTTATTTTCATTTCTTTAAATAAATTTTCAAAGAAATTGAAAAAGAATTTCATCTCCTCATGGTTTTATCTTTGGCTTGATAACCTGACTTTCCTGGACCCCTGTACATCAACAGAAGACTGCAAGTTACAATGTGGATTTGTGTCAGTATAGAGTTTCAGTTCTGATAGAAGGGATCTCTTACCTTCAGACAAGAACAAATCATCAGCTGGAGACACCAGGTCTGCTGGGATTGCAAGGCCATTGCTCAGTGATGTGGTAATCTGATTCGTCAAGATAACCTGCAAACACATAGGGAGAGGGAGAAGGGAAATGAATTTTTATAGCTACAGGAAGGCAGAGAACAGCCCAGGCAAGGACTGGAATCCCTCAGGCACAGGCACAGCATGTGGGCAACCCCCTACTCTGACCTTCAGCAAATTCGGCTCAGAAAATATTGAACTACCTGCAGTAACTAGAAGAGAACTGCAAAAACATGCAGTAAAAGAGATATTGTTAAAAAGATGAAATATCAAACAACATATTCTGACAGATAAGTATCAAACCACTGTCCTGAAGAACATTCTCCAACTAACAATGTGATGCTCCTTAAAAAAGCACCTAGTGAGAGAATAATATTTTGAGAATTTTTTAGGTCACTCATGAGGCCAAAGGACCAATTAAGTAAAACCAAAACTCTGAAATTTTAAAGGCAAATGGCAAACGGCAAACATATTTTTCAAGTAATTTCTATCCAGTTTATACACTTCCTTTCTTTGGCTGAAACACAGTGCCATGAAGAAAGGTATGGCAGTGATACTGCCCCATTGTCTGAAGCATAGGAGTACTACATTTCACAGGGCTGTCTGCACACAGGAGGGCAGTCCGATGTTCTTCAGGATCACAAGATTCTGGCTAAGAGCAACAGCTGGTACTACCCACACAGTGCTACAAAACATTTAGTTCTCTGACAGCATGAACGAAAGTCTTGCTTGCAAGAGAAAAGCAGTCCCTTGTACTTCTGAACATGTACTTCTTTTCTAATAACAGAAAACATTAAAGCAAACACTGTCAATTCCATAGATAGGAAGGCGTGTAACCTCAATTATCTCTTAATGCTTTGGGGATCTCTAAGCCGCTGCAGTTTCTGCAATTACAACTGGTCTCCACTTAGAAGACTTCACAAAAACTGCAGAAATATGTAGGTGTTTTTTTTGTTGTTGTTTTCTTCAAAGAACCAAGGTGGCCCTTATTCTTTACTTAAAACTTACTCCACTCCAGACTCAACAGCCTGTCTTCAGCTGTATATGACACGGGAGGAAGGGAGACTGGAATCGCGCATGCTACTCTATGGATACGGCTTCATGATGCTACTGGAATAAACTAACAGCTTGCCACGGCTAAAAGGAAGACAAATTTCTCTGCTCTTAAACCCGCAGCTCAGAGGCTATTCTGGCAGCCGGGCATAAGATGTAACAATATGGCACAACACTGAGAGCTTTCCCCGATCAGGTACTAAGAAACATGCTGAAAAAGAGCACGCTAACAAAAACTTCTATGCACATACATAGTGGTGGGATATGAAGTTTTCATTGGCACACTTTTGCAATGATCACATTATTCACATGTGTCAAAAAGCTTTGTAAGCAATGCAGTCATCCTATGCCTTTGCCAAGGTAATCTTACACTGTGCCATCATGTATGTTATTTATGCACCACATAGTAAAGGAACAATACCATATTTAAGGATCTTTCTTAAAAAACAAAGCCTAAATAACCTAGACTTTATGCTGCTCTTCTTCAAAAGAAACTCATGCTACACACTTCCAAAATAAAAATGAATGTGGAGAATAATTCTACTATTTGTTTTAATCTTTGAGATTTTTTGGCTTCCTCTTCAGCTGGGATCTCCACAGACCTGATAGCTGTAGAAGCATAAATTTTCTTCACTCTTATGTTCAACCCAAGCTACACCTCCAAACTTACTCTTCAACTTCTGATGTGTCCTTCAATATCCATTCAACACTAACAACACTCTAGACACCTTGTTACACCAGTTGAAAGTGTCTTAAAAAAGGTACAGTTAAAAAACATGCACACTTCCTCTGAGATGAAGCCATATGCATGTGCAGAATGCTTATTTTGGAATTCACTGAAAATTATTCTTCATTTCTGCAAGCCTGCAGAGCCTACAGAGAGATTCAGTTCTCCCATAAGTACAAATCAAGGGGCTGTTAGCTAAGCACTAAATGTGGCGTTAAATTTCGTCACACTTCTGCAGCCTCATTTACTGCAAAATTCTTCCATCAGGTGCAGCTGTGCATTCCTATATCATCAACCAATATTCATTTTGGTGCACCTAGCATAATGCAGTTTGAATCTCACTCTGTAGGTATGCAGAGTGCTTCAAACCCTGGCTCAAACACAAGCTATGGGTTGCTAACAAAAGGAGAAAAGCAGGCCTTTACTCACCTTCATCTCCAAAGAAAAATTTTAAGGCAGTCAGATTTAGAAAACTCCTCTTAATATATGTATCTTTTAATGAAGGTGCAAAAATCCAATTACGTCCCCTTACTGGAAATTACTAAGATTTCTTTAATTTTTCCCAAAGTAAAATCTTGGTCAGCAATACTTTGGCAGTGAATAGTGGCACACAAACAAAGCCCTGTGGTTTCATCAGTCTCCAAGCCTATATTCAGTTTGAGGCCCCGAATGCTGTTACCATGTGATTCCCAGTATCACATCTAAAGAACCTATTAGCTTTTGTCCAAAGTCTCCTTCACCAACCTGAAAGATGTGTTTAAACTCCATTGCTTTGAAATGGACATATGGCTATCCTTTGAAATGGAACGAAATATATTCAGAGAATTATAAATAGGCGTCTGAGGAAACTGTTACACCCAAGTGTGATACAGAGAAAATGCCCAGGTAAACAAAGGAGATAGGGAGTAAAACAGCTGTGTGCCTTCCTCATGAGTACAAATTTAAACTAAAAGAGGGGAGAATTAGATCAGATGTTAGGAAGAAATTCTTTACTCAGAGGGCAATGAGGCACTGGCGCAGGTTGCTCAGAGAAGCTGTGGCTGCCCCATCCCTGGAGGTGTTCAAGGCCAGGCTGGATGGCTCTCGTGGGAGGTGCCCCCCCTGCCCACGGCAGGGGGCTGGAACTAGAAGGTCTGTAAAGGTCCCTTTCAACCCAAACCATTCTGTGATTCTGTGCTTTGTGCATGGAGAGAACCAGCTGAATCTCATACAGTGCTCAGTTCTGATCTTAGGAACTCCTTATCTTACGAATAACCAACATTAGGTGAGCGAGGGTTAGAATATTTTCCTTTGGTCTGCTAGATGTCACACTTCAAAGGAACCACCTCTCAATGCTAAACAGTGCCTGGAAACAGTCTGGGGTCACAAGTCCAAGCAGATTTACTAGAAAGAGTGCCTTGCATTGAATTAGCAGTAGCACTTCCTCAACTTTTCCTTGGAGATCTGCCATTGAAATACAGATCAGATTTACCCTGTTTAGTACAGGAGACCTGCCAAATCCACAGTCTAAGTAGGTAAGGAAAAGTTGCCTCTGTTGTGGTTCCTTTTGACAGATACTGGACATTATTACCAGCCAAGCATAGCTTCCACTTATTCCACAGATGCAATGCCAGTCATGTGTTTATTTTCTTTCAGGAGAACAATCAACAATAAGAACATTAAAATATAATGTAGCAACTTTATCATATTAAAATACATGGTATTTTAATAGCAGCTCCTATTTTCAGCATTAATGAAACTAAATATTTTCATTATCAGGGGTATTTTCATTACTACTATGGCACTAAGTCACACAAAAAAACTTAATACCTCTCCATGCACAACTGAGGCCTGACACATGCAACAGGTAAGGAGATTTTGTTACTGCTTTCTGTTTTTAGCCTATGATGGATGAAGAATATAGAGCTTCTTCTGCCCATGATCGTGCAAGTTTATGGAAAACACCCTCTACTGCTAAAAGAAAAAAGACCAAAAGGTCAACTCTATAGCCCTGTAACACTGAAAACTTGTCCCACTCAGTTTCCTGTGGAATTCAGTGAACTGTCTTACACCTTTTAGCATATTCACTTGCAGCTGGTAAAGGTGGTGAAAAATCAGTTCTCAGCTTTCAGATTCTGACAAAGTTACACTGTAGAAATTCTCACTGATACAATTTCCCAATCTTATGAAAAAGTTTGTTTACTGTCCCAATATCAGCACAGCAACCTCCAATTGTAAAGTAACCCCTTGTAACTATTAGAAATAGCAAGAACACTTCTCCTTACACTTAGAAAACCTGGAGAGAAACCCAAAGAAATAGGTGGAACACACTTTCAAGTTCCTAATTTTAGACACTAGAGAAAATTCCTGACTCTTCTTATGATCTCCCTCAGTTTTATAGGAATAGGAACACTAGTTTCTCCAGGAAAATAGTGTTCTCGTTTCAGACAGAAACAGACAGTTGTTAATTCCAAGATTAATCCAAAAGCCAACACCTTTATTTTTATAATCTCTTGAAACCTTACATGTCATGGTGAAAAGGCAATCTCCTTCCACTGGTGTGACTACCAGATGCCAATTTTCTGGAGGCACAAAAGAAGAATAAGAACACTTATTTAAGATACCCAAGTTCCCAGCAGCCATGTTTGTTGAAAATAGTGTAGTTCTTGCATATGCTGAAGGCCCTTGCAGGTCCTGGGATAAAGTTGGCCTAGGAACTGAAATATGACTGCTTCACACAGAAGAATAAGCAAACTATTTTTTGTTTGATTATTTATACAGTACAATTTTTCAAGTACTCCTCCTGCCCTTCCTCGGACCACACTGGAACTACTAAATCTGACTTTGTTGTCCTTGTAAATCCCGTTGAGTAAATAAGTCATTTTCTGTAAACTTGTGGTCTCAGCCTCCTTGTTAGTTTATTGCAAAATTAAAGGGAGCTCAGTGCAGAACTATCAATCAGTAACCAGCAAAGGTATAAAGTCTTCTGGAATGTACCGAGAGAGGAGGAAGAAAAAACAACCTCTCATGAAACGTCTGTTTGTTAAAAGAACAGAGCAGAATTCCCCTTTTCGCAAGCAACGCTATTTAGGAAAACTCTTATTAAAGGCTTCCTATTGAGTTGGAGAAGCAAGCGCAGGAACACTCTGCCCTTATTAGCCCATGTATTTGTGGTTTTCACTGTACTCAAGCAACGTCGCTAGAGAGCACGAAGTAAGAGTGACATTCGGTAGATGCTGACTCAGCACGCTGGAGGAGAAGGGAAGGAAATTTTACTGCT